TAATCAAACAATTATATCTATCAAATTCGATATCTATTATCCGCTATCTATTTTTGCTATTTACCATTTGCTATTCATTAATTATCATCAATTACTTACTACCGCTATCCACTATTTTCTATTTACTATCCACTGAATTTTAACTATTATATCAAACAAACCCTAATTATAGAATCATTCCTATTGCTTAATTATTTGTATTTAAATCTTAGTATTTACATTTAGACAAGTGAACGGTCAACTCTCATTAAATATTTAAAATTTTTTTCTTTCCTTATATTTCTCCTTGTTATAAAAAGATTAATAATAATATTTAAAATATATATTATAAATTAATTTTAATTTATTAAATAATAAATATTAATTATTTTATCATATATCAATAAAAATAACAATCAAAATTATATTATCTTAACAAAAATGTTTGTAACCACAACCACAGACGACATAGCTCAGTGGGTTATCCAAAAAGGAGACGGTCTAAAAGACCTATGATGCCATATATAGATAATAAAGATGAGGAGTTAGACTGCCATGAGCCTTAACGGTCAGTAACCATACTGATACAGAAGGGATCAGAACCAAAGAGCATTAAAAAGGATATGACCTCATTGCAACAATCCCAGTACTACATATAGTAAATAAAGGTTTTGTTTCGCCCTTGTTTTTCCCTGATTTGCATTTTGTAGGATGTAAACAACTCACAGTCACAGCAAATAGACGGCCCCATCGGCTGAAAGAATGAGTTTATTTTTAAGCTAACATCTTTTGAGCAAATCTCTTTTTTGCCAGAAAGGCCAACCTTCTTACTGTTTCTCTCTCAGCTGACATCACTTTAACAGTATACAGAAGAGAAAAGGACAACCTAGCCCTAGAGGGAGAATGGTTATAATTACAAAAATAATTTTTAAGATTATATAAATAATTTTTAGGGTCACATCAAATATTATATTTATATTTATTTTTTTATTTTTATTTTTTTTTAATCAGATAGATGATTAGGAAGTTAGTAGAGTTAGTTTGTTAGCAGCTAGAATTTTTTCAAGAAAGTGAACCTTCCACCCCTCATTTGAGGCGCGCGATCATTAGGTCGCAAGTTGGAGTTCACGGCGGTGGCAGAACTCGAAACCTTGATTTCCACCTCACCCAAACCCTAAAACTTAGGGCCAGCCAATTGGGCCACAGGCCCGGTTGGCATTTAATTTTTTATTTTGTTAAATATATAATTGATTAAAATGTTTAAAAATTTTAAATTATAACTTAATTTTAAATTGTTAAATAATAATTAATAATTATAATTATTAATTACTCATAATAAATAAATTAAACATACTTATAATATTTTTATGTAACTTTAACCATTATTTCTTGATGTTTAATACAAATAAGAATACATTTTTAAAAAAATTTTTAATTAAAGATATAATTTTTTTAATTAATTAAAATTATTATCTTTTAAAAATACTTAATTAAAAATAAGATTTTTACTATTTTATTAATAAAAAATTAAATAAATGTGCATACAAACGTAATTAATTAAAATTTTTTAATTCTTAATATGCATTTTTTTAAATGGTGATAGTTAAATCAACACATATATCTATTTAAATTTTTTATTAACAAAATTACAAAAACTATATTTTTAATTATTTTTTTAAAAAAATTATATACTCATTTTTATCAAACCTCATTATTTGTGTGATAAATTGGTAATACTTTGCTCGGTGGAGGGGGGCAAAGTTGAAAATATAGATGTTAGGTCTTTTTGTACGGTATTTATAGAGGTGTGAGAAGTCAATTAACTGTGCATGTGGAGGGGGTTGACAGGAGGGAGAGTGTGAAAAGTCATGGATATGATTTTGATTGAGATTTTTTTTTTTCATTGACTGGGGTCTGGGGAAGAGACATAACTTTACAAACATAGAGGAATTGTCTGTGCATGTTAATTTTTGCATAGTTAGCAAATAAAGCTACAGTCATTCAAGTCTTTCTTTTTTTCTTTTTTTTTTTTGGCAGTAATTCAAGTCTTTCTTTTATCTCTATTCTACAGTAAGCAAAGAACACTAAACAGAGAAGATGTTGTACCTGCCCACGTGCATAGACCCCTACTCTTGCTGTTGAAAACAAACAGAGCAGGCCCAACGGTAGATGGTCCTTGCTGTCACCGTACCACAATAAAAAAAAAAAAAAGGCTTCTGCCCTTTACTCCTTGTATAATTTTCAAGACCTGATTTGATTGATTGACAAGGATACATGTTAGAAACCAAGGTGAAAAGAAATAAAAAACCAAGAGTTGTTGTTTAGTCCAATCCCCAAGGCAATATCCTGCTCCCAGCCTACCACCATTAAGGACCAGCTCTGTTTTCTTTCGATAACTTATGCAACATGTCCCTGTAATAATACATAGTATTTGATGTTCTGTTGACAAAATCATAAAAATTTTAGTGAGACAGAAAAGAAGTGTAAGGGAAAAGAGGTAGTGGTCAGTGTTTTTCTCGATGTGAATGAAATTTGGGGGTCAGGAAAAAGATACAGAGCTAACAAAATCAGTCATCTATTACTCAACGTAGCAGCATCGCACACAGATGATGTGACACTTTATTAATGATAAATGGCACAAACCAGACTCTTGTGTTCAAAGCATTCCCAGTTGAAGAAGTGATGACCAAAAGAAACTAGAAAGAAAAACAGCTTACTTTCCTCAGCATATTTTAATGTTTAATACGTCGAGACACTAAAGAGTTGCTTTCCCGTCATCTCTTTGTTGAACATAGGGAATTTTGTGGGGATCAATAAGACTCAGGGTCTCAAGTTTACAGACCCTTAACCTTAGGTTGTGTCTGAATGGCGCCTTCTTGAAAGAAGAATGGGGGAAGATGTCCAAAAAAAGCCAGCTAGCTTTGTCTAAGAATCTAAAAATCTAGGGTAAATAGCATATAGCCTGCTTAAAAGAGTAGTGTAACTGGTTATAGGTCTCAGGCTGTCCTGAGAAAATGTTAGAAGAAAATTTTTTTACTGGCGTAGAACGTTGATGTCATCATTTAATAATTTGTTAAAATTGTACAAATTATATTTAATTTGATTAATATTTATAATTTTTTAAAATAATTAAATATAATATTTAAAAATATTAATTTATAAAATAATTTTAATTTATTAAATAATAAATATAAATTATTGATTATTTTTAACAATCAAAATGAATAATATTGTGTAGTATTAACAAATCAATTAACTCTGTTCATTGCCACACCAACATATAATCAATTAACTCTCTATATAACAAGTTATTTCCTCATTTACCAATTGAACACAACTCTACAAATCTAGACATATTTCTCCAGACTTCATTTTTATGGAGAAATATGCCAAGCAGTCAGGCCTTAAGGCATGAACAATTAGGCTATATAAATAAAAGATAAAGAGGGTGTTTGGCAAATTTAAAAGTTTTTTTTTTTAAATAAATTTTTTTCATAAATTTAAATTTTATGACGGAATAATTAAAAAAATTAGTTTTTAAAATAACTTTGAAGTAAGTTTGATAAAATTTCTACCTCCACCAATTTCTTAAATTTATGAAAAGAATTTACTTTTAATATAAGTTTCTTTTTAAAATTTACCAAACAACCTTAAAGTTGAGTTCTTACAGCCAGATTTAATTCTAATTTTAATAAATAATAATACGAGCAGATAGAGAAAGTCAATAAATCAACTAGAGCTTGCTGGCCCCGAAAAAAAAACGAAAAGAAAAAAAAAAACTAGAGCTTAAACAAGTTGACACTCATTGATTACATTAGTCTTTGGTTCTTTGGAGCAGGAATTAGGTGCAAATTGCAAATCCCGCTGGCATACTGTGCACGACTTTTTAAATGTTACCCAGTAATATCATCCAATCCACTGCATGTAGTTGGAAAAACAGATAAAACCGTAAATAAAAATGTTAACTTTATTTTTTTTATTTAAAAATATTAATTTTTTAGTATTTAAATAAAAATATTAATTTTTAATTTTTTATTTAAAAATATTAAATTTTAATATTTTTTATTTAAAAATATTAATTTTTAATTTTTTTATTTAAAAATATTAACTTTCAATATTTTAATTAAAAAATTTATTTATTATGTCAGTATTACCATTAAATCAATTTTTATATAAAAAAAATTAAAATTAACATTTTTATAAAAAAAAATTAAAAATGAACAACTTTATTTAAAAATTAACAAAATTAATATTTTTAAATAAAAAAATATAAAATTCACATCCTTATTTAGTTATTATTTAGCTATTTTCTTTTCTTTGAAAAATCATCTCATAACTCTATTCTCCTTTTGGGAGATTGAGAGACAAAAGGGTAAAAAAAATATTTAACTCTACCAAGAAATTATTCATTAGGGAGTGAAATTTATGGATGAGTCAAGGTATCAGTCAAATAAAGCACAAGAGATGCCGTTCTATCCTAACCAAAATAATGCTCCTCAAGCCTTAATACTGTTGTCCTCTAGCACATACGTACCCCTGCCACAAATACCTACCCATCTGTGTTAGCAGATCATGCTTCCCACGGTTGAACGGGTACCTTAGGGGCTGCCCCACGTCCCAATGAGCAATGACGATGAAGCTCGATAACCTGGATACGTTGCACTGTGATGAACCATAGAAAGATGTTTACTACAGAGAGAACAGAGAACAGTCACAAATTTAGAAGAGATACAACAAGATTTCATGGATGCCAAGATAATGATGGTAGCAGAAAATACTTGAGAACAAATGAGTGAACAAGAAAGAAACCAGTAGCACAGAAAACATCATGTGGCAATCCAAGAACTTGGCCAGTCTGAGGTCCCCACAACTGGGTGGTGGCAGTTCATGATTTGTTGCTAATAACTACAGAAAATGCAGATCAATAAACCAAACTGAATAAGAAGAAGAAACTCCAGCAGGGCAATGGATAAAAGATATATCAGCTTGGATTTGATTCACGTACCTTGCAGGTTGGATTTGCTTCGCGACCTAACAGTTCATACATACAGTGGATCAGCAAGAATAGAAATGACATTTACAGAATCAGATGACAACTAGTCTGTTCCTTGCGGTATTTTGCATGTACCTTCATGTGTCCCCAGATAAACTAACAAAACAAGTTTTGGACTGACTAATTTCAAGCAATGTCTAAAAGAAGAGAGTTTTGGACTGACGGAGTCAATTGGGCTCGAAGTGTCACTATGAAGTCCCTTCATTAACCATCCAAAAGGATGAAACATCAGAGTTTTGCATGTACCTTCATGTGTCCCCAGATCTATAATTTTCCAGTTAATCAAATTCCAACCTAGAAATATATAGACTCAACCAGTAGACTATGGTTCCATCATAAGGCGAGAACCGAGTTTCTAGATGATTCTACGTCTGATACACAGTGCCGAAGAGTAAACCAATTTAAAGAGAAAAGCAACTAAGAGAAGTGGAATAATAGTAAAAAATGTTAATTAACTTAAAACGTATTAAATTGATCCAGCAAACAGAAAAGCAGACAGGTGGACCTGGAAAAAGAAAGTTGGGACACATAAGGTACTTTCCAAAAGCCATAAAATGTAGGTTCCAAGATGAGGTAAAATGAACAAAATTATCCAGTATGAAAAATCCGTTGGCTGCTGTCCACAACAACTTATATCAAAGAGGAGAAAACAAAACCTAATAGTTTATAGTTTCTTCCATAAATCATACTTCACCATAAAAACCTGATGCTCATCATCTAAGAGATTATAAACAACCTTGACAACAACCAAAGCATCCCAAATGAATAATGTGTTTTCACCATCTTTTAAATGGTTTGTAACAAATTGGAAGCTAACTACCATAAAATCTAGAGATTATAAACATCAGCAAATCATTATGGCTAGTTTAACATGAAACACCTGAAGGTCATAATGATCCAATACTTCTAAGCCACTAAGTACCTCCACTAGTCCATCAAATAGAGTCCTTCAATAATATTATTTACTTATCCATCATTACAAAAGGTAACCTTGACAATCAAACATTTCTCTCATAAGCAATGTCTTTAAATCAGCCTTTTAATGGTTATATATGTCAGCAATGACCCATGGCTAGCTCAAAAAAAAAAAAAAAAACCCTAAGTGCATTCTTCGAACAATCTCACATCTCTGGATCATTTCAGTAAACCTCAACTAGTTTATTCATTCTATTGATATCAACACTTTTGTTCCCCAAACAAAAAACCATTAGTGTTAAGAGTATATCCTTAACTTAAGTACTTCCTATATGCTGAAATCTTCAAACTATTGAGTCGAAGACTCAAAGCAGAACTGCAGTGGTCACTTAAATGAACAGTTATCCTCCCTATTTTCCAGACTAAGGGAGATCTTCCTCAACTGTGTAGTCAATTCTATGGAACTTCCCTTTAACCTCTAACAAGTCATTTCCTCCAAGGTCAGGAAGCTCCCAAATAGCACTCTAGTTAATATCCAAAGAATAAACCTATGTTGATCTATTACAAAAGAAACCTGAAAATTTGACAGGCCATCACTATTATTTGTTCAACTTAATCATTGGGTTTTTATGGTAGTTTAAACAATTACTTCATTGCTAATCAGGAGTAATTCCTCATAAAAGCAAACCCATCCAAAACCCTCTTAAGAACAGGAAACCCAAAGTTCAGGTTAAAAAAATAAAGAGAAATGAAAACATGTATAGATATGATAATTAGGGAAGAAACTGAAAATTTGACAGGCCATCACTATTATTCTCAATTTAATTACCGAGTTTATATAGTAATTCAAACAATTACTTGATAGCTACCCCAAGTTCAGGTTTAAAAAAAAAAAGAAAAGGAAAGGAAAGAAACAAGGTATAGACATAATTACAAGCAAGGGGATCATCAGCCAAGTAGAATGCTACTTAAAAATGATAAAAAGCAAGAGCAAAACCTCCCACGCATGTATACAACAGAGTACGAAATAATATAGGAAACTTTGGCAGTGATGGGTAACTCAAATTCAAATACAAAATATATACGAAATAGAAGCAAACGAACTTTTACTCTCAAGAGAAAAAAAGGAAAGAAAAGGCACAAATCAATTTTACTCTTAACTAATGACTACCAGAAAATGGGAAAATATGAGGATATTAAAATGCACTTTCTTGTTGCAAGTGAGCATCTAAGGCTACAAAATTCCACACCTCCTACCCCTAAAAGGTAAAGCCTTTTAAGTAGAACTCTTTGGGACCAATAGCAGAAATAGTGAACGTCTAGAGTCTCTTCAATGATCAGACAAGAAACCATGAAAAACAATAATAAAGAGCAAAGAAACAGGAAACAATAAAACCAATTTACACCAACGACTTGTTGATCCGAGTGAAAGAACCTCGATTCCCCCTTAAGCAAGGTCTTGAGTTCGAGTCTTGTGAATGGAGAAATAGGCATTGGGAGAGCTTCTCACCTTATGAGGTCCGATGTAACTTGATTCTGGATTAGTCAAAATCCAATGTGGCTTCTGGATACCGAAAGATTGGTACCAA